CGCTCTTTAGGAGCTGCTTTTCTGCCGCACACTGTTGGCCAGAGGGGTTGTTTTCCAGGTCAGCTGACAGTGTGACGTGTGAAAAGGTTAGAGTGTGGACGTGGGAGATGAGGCGTGTGTAATGGAAATGACGTGAGCTCCAGAGCGGGGCGGTGGTGTTCTGACTGCCATCTTCCCTCAATATCCATTCTGGAGTCACAATTCCTAAAAGGTAGACCAATCAGATGCTCTTCTTTCCAGAATATGCCTCGTGAATAGAGACCGTGATGAAGGAAAGTGCTTGGGGTGTAGGGTTACCCCATTTCTAAGGTAACGCCTTGAAGAAGTACCCTTTGCTTTCGTCCTAAATTTCCTGAGCTCTCTGGACCCTGTCCCTCTCAAGGTTTGGCTTTCCCAGCTTTTCCATCCTTTTGGTGTAAGAGTCCCCCTGTACACTGTCATATTTTTTAGTATATTTTAGCCATTGCTGGTTTCAGGGGCTTCCAACCAAGCCGTCGGAACAGGCACAGGGCTGTGAAGGTCAAAAGGTCTAGGAAAGCGTGCAGAATGGATCAGACATTAGACGAGTGAGTCCGTCATCAGAAGACCATCTTGGATTACCTGTTAGGGTCCTCATAAGAAGAGAAGACACAGACACAGAAGAGAAGAGCATGCAAAGATGGGGGCAGGGATTGGAGCGATGCGTCTACAAGACAAGGAACGTCCAGGGTTGCCAACCGGAAGAGAAGCCTGTAACAGATCTTTCCCAAGAGCCTGTAGAGGGAGCCTGGCCCTGCCAACACCTTGATATTGGACTTCTAGGCTCTGGAACTGTGAGACTATACAATTCTGTTGTCCTAAGCCACCCAGTTTGTGTTGGTTTCTTACAACAGCCCAAGGAAACTCCTACACTTGTCTCAAGGAAGGAGAAAGGCTGTAGTATAACTTGTGCTCCACAGCTCCCCGTGGGATCAGGCTGAAGCTGGAATTCCACCTGAGCCCTCTCTCATGCTGGCCTTCTCGCCTTCCCTGTCCTAATTCCCTCACTCCCTTTCCAGTTTCTCCTGGAAACCCTTGAAAAATCACTTGCATGTGAATTCCCATCTCTGGGTCTGCTTCTGGGAGAACCTGACCTGAGACAGGGGGGAGGGGGCAGGGCTAAGATTGGCATCGAGGCTGCCTGACTCCAGAAAGCTGGAAGCACATTTTAGAAGAGTCACTTTACTTTTCTGAACCACTTTTCGGAGTCAGACCCACCTGGGCCAGTCCCCTAGGAACTGAGTTACTGCAGGCAAGTGACTTCACATCTCTGAGCCTCAGTTTGCTGATCTGCAAAATGGGGCCAGTCTTGGTTTCTCCCTCTTAAGGCAGCCTGGAGAATTGGAGATGACGTGTGTGAGCATGCAGCAGGCCCCCGACCCATGGGTGCTGTGTTCTGCACTGCTGGGTATGTCCAGACAGGTGTGAGTTCTCAGGCAAGGCAGCCTCATCCTGACTCAGTGCTCTTGAAGGAGACCCGGGCAGATGTGGACCTTCCGTGAGCCCTCTGCCGCTCTGTATTGATTAGATTTGGTTCGCCAGATGTTCCCAAGATAAAAGGAGCTGATGATGAGCCATATGATCAAAGTGCCTTTGTAAGATCTGAAGCCTCACGGAGTATCATCAGCTAAAAAAGAGAAATTCTGAGTTGGAGAGAGAAAAAAAAAAAAGATCACAAAGGTTGGGAGCAGAATGAAAGGGGCCATCTGCATTCTGACTCTCCAACAAGAGCCCCCATTCCTGTTCGGGGCGGGGTGCCTACATAGAATGGGGGCACATTGCAGTGGAGAAGGCATTGGACCAGCCTATCCTGGTTCACCCAGAAAGAAGCCAACGCTCAGAGAGGTCACCCGAAGTCTCACAGGTGGGAGCCAGTCCAGAGCCCAGACTCTCAACCCATGTCTCCCTTAAGCTGCCCAGGGTCCCTCCTGGGCCCAATTCGGTGCTTTTCTCCCTCCCCCAGCCTATTCCCCATCTACCAAGTCCAGCATTTCAAACCACAATGCGTTCTAGGAAGTTCTTACTCAATACGGCCATGACCCCCAGAGGACTCTCAGGAACAAACAAGAAAGCATCTCAATGGGAGGAACCATGGGCATTCATCAAGTCACCGCTTTCCTGAGTGTCGAGACCACGATTGCCCGCCTGCATGGTGGACTTCAAGGCACTCGGAAAAACAGGTAACTACAGCTCAGCTGGAGAGGTTCCTGGGGCTACAGATTGGGGGCGGGGCAGTTTGCAGGGGATATATTGGATATAACTCTCTGTACTTAACACTTAATGAACCTAAAACTGCTCTAAAAAATAAAGTTTATTAATTTTTTCATGTTTTAAGAAAAGAAGGACGGAACAGGAGGGAAAGAAAAGAAAAGGGAAGGAAAGGATGTTGGGCACATGACTTAACCTGTCTGACCTCATCCATAAAATGGGAACAGTACTTTGCTCATAGCGTTGTTGTGGGAACTAAAAGCAATAAAACATATGAGATGCCTGGCACAGCCTCCATTCGTCCAGGAATCACTAAACAGGACGTGGCTTCGCGTTCCCGAGTTACTGTCCCTTACTCAGCTAGCAAAGATCAATCCCTGCCCAAGCTTGAAGAAAAGAGACATTTTAAATAAAATTGAATAGAAATCAGAGGGGAGACCCAAAGAAGCTGTTGGGCAGAGACAGTTGAAAAAGCAGCTTAAAAATAATTTTAAAAATCAATCAATCAATCAAAGTAGCTAATCCTTCCCTGGGGAGATGGTGCACTCGCCTCCCCTGTGCCTCCCCCCACACTGCTCCTGCCATTCAGAGGATGTACCCCGATATCTGGATCCTGGTGATTCCACTGCTACCCTACAGTAAGTGCTCAGACGCAGCAATCGGACATCTTGCTAGGAGACAGCCATAATCAGAAGAGGGAGGGAGCCTCACCAGGAAGAGAAGATGCCATTCAAAGTCTTCCACCAGCATCCTAGGTCCTGGGGCAATCTGGGAAGAAGGAAAAGAGAGCAGGCTTGGGACACTTGGAAATATTCATTATTCTCCCAAAGCCAGACACAGGAAAGAACAGGGTGACTTCTTAAGCTCATCTCAAAAGAGAACATTTTGATCCTGGTCTAAGTGTTTCACCAAAACCTCTTCGGCCCACCATGCACAGCGAGTGGGTGGGGTGTCAAGGGCCAGTTTCTCTGAAGTTACACCTTCCCCATGACATCTGGGGCAGTAGCTCCTCCAGAGGTGCTCCGAAGGTCTCCAGGCTCTCGTTCTTTCTGCAAAGAGTCCCCTATCACAGGTGCTCAGGAAAACAGTGAACCAGGCAGGCAAGGCCCTGCTGTCATGCATCTTACATGCTAGTGCAAGAGACAGATGATAAACACGGAGAATTTAAATAACAGGTCGTCCTGGAGAGCGACAGGCCTAGGAAGAAAATAAAACAGGTGTGTGATAGAGATCCTTGCTCAGATGGTAGGGGGCAACGCAGGACGGGGCGGTGGGGAGAAGGCCTATCTGAGCAGGGAGCATTTAGACTGTGAACTTCAGAAGGAGCTGATCGTGGAGGTGGAAACCGGGCTGGGCACTGGCCTTCGGAGCCCAGGGGACACCAAAGCCTTGAGGCACCAACCAGCTGAGACCACCCGTTGGGTTCCTAACTGGGTACCACAAACTAGGGGGCTTCAACAACAGCAATTTCTTCTCTCACAGTTCTGGACAGCAGAGGTCTAAGATCAAGATGTCAGAAGGGTTGATTCCTGCAAGAGACTCTGAGGGACGCTGTGTCCCCTGCCTCTCTCCCGGCTCCTGGTGTGGCCAGCAATCTTTGGTGTCCCCTGGCTTGTAGACTGGTCACTCCAATCTCTGCCTCTGTCTTCAATCACCTTCTCTCTGCATCCTCTCCTCTTTTTATTTTTTTTAATATTTATTTAATTTGTTTGTTTATTTATTTTGGTTGCATCGGGTCTTAGTTGCAGGCTCATGGGATCTTCGTTGAGGCATGTGGGATCTTTTCATTGTGGTGCGCAGGCTTTTGTTGTGGCACTCAGGCTTCTCTCTAGTTGTGGCGTGTGGGTTTTCTCTCTATAGTTGTGGCGCGCAGGCTCCAGAGTGTGTGGGCTCTGTAGTTTTGTGGCACGCGGGCTCTCTAGTTGAGGCACGTGAGCTCAGTAGTTGTGGTGCACGGGCTTAGTTGCTCCGCATCATGTGGGATCTTAGTTCCCTGACCAGGGATCAAACCTGCTCCCCCTGCATTGGAAGGCGGATTCTTTAGCACTGGACCACCAGGGAAGTCCTCTTTTTATAAGGACACTTGTCATTGGATTCAGGGTCCACCCTAAGTCCAAGATGATTACGTCTACAGAGACCGTATTTCCAAAGAAGGTCACGTTCAGAGGTTTCAGGTGGATATGAATTTTTGGAGGATGCTTTTCAGATCACTAGAGATCCTTTATTGTGTGATTTTAACACAATTAAAAGGGCATCTGCAGTGCTGTGAGGGCCACAGCAGGCTGTGGGAGATATGAGAATTGGCTGGGTTATCCTTAAACAATTCATAAGAACAGCAGCCGAGATATTTCACCGCATCCCTTTTTTCCATGCATCCAGGCCCAACATCTAATAGGCAGCACCAGAGGCTTTCTCTAGGGTCACTCTGCTCACCTACGGCCAGCCAGAAAAGCCAAGAAATTAGCAGCCCTAACCAATGACTGCGGGATTTGGTGTATAAATGCCCCAGCACCTACACCCTTTGGGTGAGACAACTCAGAGGCATGTGTTTTACACTGGCTCCAAGAGTTCCCCAATAAGACTAAACTCCAGGAAACTGGAACCTTCATACTCAGCTGGAGTTGGAATATAAAATTATGCAGCCACTTTGGAAAACAGTCTGACTGTTCCTTAAAAGATTAAACATAGTCACCAAAAGACCCAGCAATTCCATTCCTAGGTAGGTAGCCAAGAGACATGAAAATGTATGTCCACACAAAAACTTTATATGAATGTTCACAGCACCATTATTTATAACAGCCAAAAAGTAGAAACAACCCAAATGTCCATCCACTAATGAATGAATAAATAAATGTGGTCTCTCCATACCATGGAATGTTATTTTGCCATTAAAAAGGAATGAGGTACTTATAATAACTACAAATGGAGTATAACCTTTAAAAATGGTGAATCACTGTACCATACATTTATAACTTATATAAAATTGTACATCAAATATACTTCAATTAAAAAAGTATTCTCAGCCAAAGACATATGTTTAATCAGATTGGAGTTTACCAACTCATGTTTTAAAAAATTACACTGGCAACTTAGAATAAATTAATCTGACAATTGATAAGACATCTCAAAAAAAAAAAAAAGGAATGAAATATTAATACATGCTACAACACGGGTAAACCTTGAAAACATGCTCAGTGAAAGAAGCCAAACACAAAAGAGTGCATTTTGTAGGATTCCATTTATATGAAATACCCCAAAGAGGCAAATCCACAGCCAGAAAGTGGTTTGGCATTTGCCATGGGAGAGGGCAATGGAGAGTGAAACGAAACAGGACACTATGGTCCTTCCCCCACCCCCATATCCTCCTGCCTTTTGTCTGTGGAAGAACTTTAGCCAAAGAATAAGTTTAATCAGAGAAATGAGAGAAGGGAGAAGCAAAGAAAAACAGTCAAACAGGACGAAACGATAATAGTTTAGTCAGTAAGCAAAGTCAAGGACCTTTAGTTCCCTCTCAAGGGCTACAGATAATATTCTGAGCCGTATCCTGTGAGCTGTCTTATAGATACTGAAACCCCCACCAGGTGCAAGAAGTTAACTACATGATGACCAGGCTGTAGCCATGACATCAGCTGCCGCAATTCCAAGAATTGGCCTCAAGGAAATGGGAACAAACCAACCCGGGGAACTGAAGGTTAACTGTATCTAAAACCATCAATATCGTGCTGGTCAGACCACCAATGACCAATTTCAAGATGACTGTCAGAGCTGACTGTGCTGTTTCTGCATGTAGCCCCCTCCCTCTGCCTATAAAAGCTCTTGCCCCCTGGTTGTCAGTGGTGGGGGAGTTGGCCTTTGGACAGGACTCTGCATCTCCCCCCAGTTGCCGGCCTCCAAAATAGAGCAAACTTTACTTTCCACCAACTTTGCCTCTTTATTGGTTTTTGAGTGGCGAACAGAGGGACCCCACTTTCAGTTACAGGAGGATGCTGATGGGCACAGTGTTTGTTCTGGGGGTGATGAACATGTTCTGGAATTAGACAGTGGTGATGGCTGTACAATGTTGTGAATATACGAAATCCACCAATTTGTACACTTTAAAATAGTGAATTTGACAGTATGTAGATTATATCTTAGTTCATTCAGGCTGCTATAACCGCATACTACAGCCTGGGCAGCTTATAAACAACAGAAATTTCTTTCTCACAGTTCTGGAGGCTGCAAGTCTGAGATCAGGGTGGCAGTGTGGTCAGGTCAGTGTGGCCTGTGTGACTGTCTTGTACCTCAACTGTCTTTTTCCCAAGGGTTTAACATCCATTGATGATTCTTATCTGGATCAGTCAGCATTAAGGTGACTTTAAAGAGTGATTTTCTATTTCTATTCATCCTTCCTTCTACAGTTTCTCACCACCCTTTTAAAAAGTCTTTTAGTTTCATTATGAACTCATGGATTTTTTAACTGAAATAAAATTCACCATTCTAAAGTGAACAATTCAGTGGCATTTAGTACATTTACAGTGTTGTACAACCACGCCCTCTATCTAGTTTCAAGCCATTTTCATCACTCCCTAAGGAGACCCCGCACCTATTAAGCAGTCACTCCCTATTTTTCCCTCTCCCCAGGCCCTGGCAACCACTAGTCTGCTTATCGTCTCTATGGATTTCCCTTTTCTGGATGTTTCATTATACGTGGAATCATGCAGTACGTGTGTGGTCTTTTGTGTCTGGCACATTTCACTGAGTATCATATTTTCAATGTCCATCCATGTTGTAACATGTATCAGTACTTCCTTCCATTTTAAGGCTGGCTAATTTCCCCCTGTATGGATAGACCACATTTTATTTATCCATTTTTCAGGTGATGGACATTTAGGTTGTTTCTTTTTGCTACTGTGAATAGTGATTTATGAACATTCGTGTACAAGCACTGGCCTGAATGTTTGTGTCACCCCAAGAGGGCCTTCACCACAACCTG